TGGGCACCGTAAAGAACTTCTTTTCACATTTTCTTTTATTCTTACAACAGCTCGATGAAGTAGGTACTATGATTATCCCACCTTAGATAAACAAATTTAAAATTATTGACACAGAAGGGTAACTAGAGACCAGGCAAGAATGAAACAATATGAACCCATCAGAAGCCCAGTTACCAACACACAACCAGCTCATGCCAAGCTCCTTTCACCAAATCAATTGGCCCCTCTCTCCATCTGATTCAGTTAATTGCTGAGAGAATCAAAGACAAAAGTCTCTGTAAAACATAATACATTATATTTTATTCCTGCAGCTCCACTTGTCTCGCTGCTTGTGACTTGGGCGCTTAAAATTGTCTGGGGAGAATCTTTCTGATTCCACTCAAATCAGAGTGGAGGATACACACACGCTTGGTGGCCTGTTCAAACACTAGTTATAGAGGCTTATGTGGGGAAGGCAATGAGCTAACATTTATTTCACAGGAAAGTATCCATTCTTATCCTAAAGTGGAAGGGAAAAAAGAAAAAAAAACTGTCCAAAAGTGGGGGGAAAAAAAAAAGGCCCCCTCAGCAGTCTGTTTTGGAATAGCTATTCTGCCGTCCTTTCTGTGAGGAAAAAGTTGCAAGTGAACAACTTCTCTGGGTCACTTCGTGTGTGTGTGTGTGTGTGTGTGTGTGTGTGTGTGTGTGAAGGCAGTGGTTCACTTCCTTGGTGGCTCAGTGGTAACGAATCCACCTGCCAATGAAGGAGACTCGGGTTCGATCCCTGAGTCAGGAAGATCCCTGGGTCAGAAAGATCCCCTGGAAAAGGGCATGGCAACCCACTCCATTATTCTTGCCTGGAGAATCCCATGGATAGAGGAGCCTGGCGGGCTACAATTCATGGGGTCACAGAGTTGAACACAGCTGAGCGACTGAACAACAGAGTTTTGTTAAAACACTATGATGTCCCACCCTGAGTTTCTGATTCCAAAAGTCCCTGCTACACAAGCAGGTTCTCAGGTGATACTGAGGCTGCTGACTTGGAACCACATTTTGGGAACCACTGGTCTAGGGCAGTCTATTAAAACAAGTCAATCTTCGTCTCAGGCAGCCTGCAGGTGTGAAGAAAAAAAAATTAAGGAATAAAGTTCAGTATTAGCTTCTTTTTAAACTGTTATTATTTCAGCTTCCAGTGCCAGTGGGCACTTCTCTTCAACAATCACTGAGTAATTAATGCTTTTCTCAGTACAAAGAAGTCAATAAACAAGCATCAATTATGTCTGATCCAGGATGAGGAACTCTGGAGTGTAAAGAAGTGAATTTGTGACAGTCCTGCCCAAACAAACTGCCCAGCCATTCAGGACAGGTTAGGGAGGAACTCTAGTTGGAGGAGTCCAAGTACTCGCATCTCATTTATTTGACCACACCATCTGTTGTGTCATTTTGAGCAAAGTCAGATTCTCTGCTATCAAGATGCACAAGGAAACACACAGATGGATGCTCTGAGTTGTTTTCTTCTGTACAAAGACTCTCTTCTGCCTTTAGCTGATGGGGCCAGTGAAGGCGATTCGTTCCTTTAAATGCTGAGATTATAATTCGAATGCCTGTAGATATAGCCTAGCCTGCCCTGCCCACATCTCACTCCTTATTGAATAACATCTGCTCTTATGCATTTGCGTCTCCTGCTTGGATGCTCGGGACCCCTGAGTCTGCCACATTTCCTCAGTTTCCCACTTTCTCCCTCCCTTCTGTGCACCGACCGCCCTGGCCTTTTCTCATCTTCAGGTGCGCTCTTCCCTGTCTCCTCATCAAACTGCTCCTCACCCTCAGTCTCCAGGTGCACACCTCTTCCTCGGTGGAGTCTTTCCTGACGCCTACTCCAGAAGTTTCCTTTGGAGCACTCCCCAGAATGAAGTGTGTTTGGCTTGCATCGCCTTATCCGCTAGACTTAACGCTCCCTGAGAGCAGCTGTTATCTGTCCACTCCACCAGAGCCTTGCCAGTACCAGGCAGACACTGGGCTCACCCTGGGGCTCACTCAGGTTGCCTGGGTGATGAGCTAACCATAAAGGAGGGATTGTACTGAAATTCATCTTCCCAAAGAAAATGGCCTTCTCCTCCCAGACAAAGAAATGATGACATCCACAGACCCCAGGTCACTAGGTGGTGAGTTGCTCTGAAACTGAGTGTTAGTCACTCAGTCATGTCTCTCTGTGACCCCATGGACTATAGCCTGCCAGACTCCTCTGTCCATGGAGTTCTCCAGGAAAGAATGCTGGAGTGGGTAGCCATTCCCTTCTCCAGGGGATCTTCTCAACCCAGGGATTGAACCAGGGTCTCCCTGCATTGCAGGCAGATGCTTTGCCGTCAGAAGCACCAGGGAAGCCTGCTAAGGTGCTCTACTTGCCATTAAAAAACCCTCCCCTAATGCTGTCTCACCTCTCTGACGGCAATGGCAAGGGAGTAAGGGACAAAGCCTTCTCTTTTTCTTTGTCTCAGGCTTGTGAAGGTCCCCAAGAGAGCCTATTCCTTAACCCAGTGGATGTGCTGTGGAGATTGTCCTGAGCCCAGCTGTAAGGTAACACTGAAAAAAAATGATGCAGGTGTTAACACTTAGCAACATTCACAAAAGGATATGCCAATCAAGAAAAGTATCAGAACTAGTGAACTACTTTCTGCCATCATTTTGGATGAGTTACGAATTCTCATGTATAGTCTGACACAGCTTTGTCCTTGGGAGAGTGGCACAGATTAAATTTTTTGACGGCCTCTTATCGAGCAAATATTTTCCATAATAATAATAAAAAATCTGTAAAAAGCTGCACCAGTCTTAACATTTACAAAGAATACACCAGAGTATTAATAATTTTCTTGTCATTAACCATTGTGTCCAGCATTAAATATCACTTTGTTAACCACTAAGTCCGCATTAAAATTATCCCAAAAAGTAAATATAAAATAGAAATTTTTTCCCCTGGACCACTTCTTTTTGCTCTGAGCACAACTTATATTTCACCTTCAGGCATACTTTTTCATTTGAAAAGATAACTATGTTTTCAAAGTGAACTGAATTACAAGACTTTTTATTTCAGTGAGTGGGTAAAGAAAAAGCTATTTAATCTAAACTTTAAGTTTCACTTTAGCACTCAGCTGAATAGAAAATTTCAAAGGAAATTCTGCTTAAAGATATGATAAAATACCATATGGTCCTGACTACAAGAAAATTCTATTTCATTTTGTAAGTTGAGCACATGAGCTTATTATTAGTCAGAGATCTTATAAGATCTCTATAGGTTTTATAAACTGAAGCAAACTAGTTCACTTGAATTGCTATGTATCTCCCTGGTATTTTTTAATGGGAGACAATGTATTTGTAGAAATCATCATTCTTTCTCAGGGGATAATTTACCAGGCTCTCATTATCAATTTAAAATCTTGAATTCTACAGCACACATTCATACAAAATGCCAGTTAAGGAATACTTAGACACTAAATGTTTTATAAAGTTTCTAGAACACGTATAATTCCATTTACATCCTCAAGCTTTTCAATTTTATTTATCTTAAAATCAGTTTCATAAGACTGGATGGAAGGGGAGTTTGAGGGAGAATGGATACATGTATGTGTATGGCTGAGTCCCTTCGCTGTTCCCCTGAAACTGTTTCAACATCATTAACCAGCTATTCCCCAATGCAAAATAAAAAGTTTTAAAAATATCAAGAAAAAAAATTAGTTTCATAAAATGTTATATGGTTATAATTCAGTATCATTACAATAGTATATCATACAATCTGGAGTGAACTAAAGTAGAAATGAAAGAAAACCAACTATAAACTCTATGTGAAAATGAAGAAGTAAGCAGGGCCTAACAACTGAGAAATAAATGAGACTGGTTAGCTCTTCCCCTGCCCAGCTGAACGTGCATTTAAACGCAAGGACTAAGCTTATCTCATGTTCGCTTCCCACAAGTGGCTGCACATAGATAACGGTGACCTGCAGGGTCCACCGTATAAGCACACAGTCTAGTTCCACAAGCAGATCACTGTGGAATGCATGAATGGCGCCACGTTCGTACCTTTTCACAAGAGGGAAGATTTACGGTCAATATTTAACCGACAGCAAATGAACAGGGAAGTGAGAGGTGGAAAACGAAAAATGCATAACACAGGTCCACACTCGCTCCCCTCACGCAGACATATTCTCAAAGTGTTTCGTGTTATCTCCCACCATTACAGGTATCTGAGGGAACCAGTGAATGCTAAGTGGCAGTCACCTCTTTGTCACCTCTGTGCTTGATCAGGTGCCACGCTGTGCCCTTTACTTCAGCTCTCAAAGACTCACAGGACCCAAGGCCCTTTTCTCAGGAGATGCTTCAAGATTCTGTGAGCTAGCAATGTTACAGGTCATGTCAAGTAATCCGGGACCAACACCAAAAGCTTCTCCTACTCCCCCGTCAGAAAGAATATGCAAAAAATTTCTTAGCAGACAGCTGGCAGAAGTGCACAGGCAATTGATTTTTATGTCATATGTGACGGTAGAAGATCCTTAGCTTCAAAGAAGATTTCAGAATAACAGTACACAGTTACTCAAAACTAACTTAGTTCCAAAGTTTATCACCTCTGACACTGTATCTGTGATACAAAGCAGATACTTAAGAATGGCGAACATATGATCCTATACCTATGCCTGACTAACTGGCAATTCTTTCCCTGAATCACCTAAGCCAGGTTTTGCTGTTCTAAGACAGAAGTTAAATTCAAAGAGAACAAAGCTTACAGGTAAAAAAAAAAAAAATCCATTATTTAAAAAGTAAAAAAGGGAGGGAGGGAAGAAGGAAGTCTCACAATCACCATTCTGCTGGCCACTCAGGCGCTGAAGAGGTTTACCCAATGAAATTACTTCTCACACTGATTTCAGGATGTAAGACTATTAAAATTAGAACACGGTTTTAAAAAAAAAGGAATTCCATTATAATTTCATGCAATCTGTCTGCTGTGAAAAAAATACCAAAATGCAGTCTCATTTGATCATGTTAGAGTATAGTATTTATTAAATTTCATCATTTATGATCACTGTGTCATTAACTCTAACAGAAATATTGACATTTAAAAACACAGACAGCATACTGATTTTTCAACTATTTAGCTTACATGTACTTTTCAACTGTCATGCAGTGTTCATAATTAAGAGACATTACACATTAACCCTCTCGTATTACACTTATTAAGAAGTAAATTTGAGGGTAGAAAAATGCCAACATAAATTCATTCTCCGAAACCACCCGTGAGTGTACTGTCACTGTTCCTTCTGCTCATATACTGAGAGTACATTCTTCAGTAAAATGGGTAGCTGTAGTCATGTAACAATAGTTATGATGAGGCAATATCATTTCAAGAAAGAAATACAACAAATGAGACCAAAAATTGAAGAGCTGAGATCACAGCATATAAAAATCATTTGCAAAGACCACATAAACTTCAGTGTTTTCCACTTTCCAGCTGGAGAGAGCATGCACAAAGTTTTCTTAAGACAGATGTCAGCAGTGCATGAAAAACTGGCTTTCATGTCACGCGCGCTGAGAGACCATCAATGCCACTGAGGAAAAAGAATTCTGTTCATTATCTTTTGGGTCTGTCTATATCATCTATAGCTGAGAGAAGTTTTTGTCTTGCTTTCTTATTGATATGGGATCCCAGGCAAACATTTACCAGGTTGGTCAGCTGCTTTGTTGAATACTCCTGCTCAAAAAAAGAAGATTCAAATTTAGTACACTGATACACATGTGTGTGATCAATGCAGAAAAAGAACAGGCAGATAGATAATCAGGACTCAGTGGGTAACTACTGAGCACTACAAATCAATGGAAAGCAGTGGAAATTATAACTGAGACATGGAAAACAAACTGGTTACAGAGTTGTAATAAGGGAATGAGAGTATCTACAGCATGAATTTGAAACAGGAACCACCAGAATCTTTTTAATATGGCACGTGCTGTAATCAGACTCAGTCACTAGTTGTGCCTGACTCTGCGACTCCATGGACTGTATAGCCCACCAGGCTCCTCTATCCATGGAATTCTCCAGGCAAGAATACCGGAGTGGGTCGCCACTTCCTTCTCCAGGGGATCTTCCCAAACCACAGAATGAACCTGCATCTCCTGCACTGTCAGGCAGATTCTTTACCGCTGAGCCAGGGAAGCCCTTCATATGGCACATAACATGCCAATGCTTATTATTTTTAAGATCACACATTATGCCTCTTTCTGTGATGGTCTTTGTCATCAAGTTATCAAAACACCCTGACATTTCAAGAATTTATATACATATAATAAAATACTACTAACTAAGTAGCTTCTAGCACTGCACATTTTGCACATTTTAGATAAAAGAAAAAAAAATCTCCAAACACAGAACAACTCTTCTGAGACATAACAAATGAATAAGGTAATAACAAAGATCAGAAAATTATTGGTTCTTAAACCTTTGTATCTTAACAGTAGCTAGAAAGTAAAATTGAAGCCACAGCTAACCTGTGAACAACTCAGGGATTAGGAGTGCTTTCCTTACAGTGGAAAACTTGCACACAATTTATAGCTGGCCCCCCTCATCCAATGTTCCTCCATATTAAAGAATTTAACCAACTGAGGATAATGTAGATATTCACTATTGAAGAAAACTGTATATAAGTGGACCTGTACAATTTAAATTCATGCTTTCTGATGGTCAACTACCTAAGTATTTGTTTGCTGTACAAATTGATTTAGTTCCTGGATTTCAGATAAGTTGTCAGGATGAGCATGATGAACAGGACTCTTCGGAAAGTTCTACATCTTGATTTGGTTCTGGAGAATTAAGACCAAGAGTTCAGCAAGAGAAAAAGCTGTGTTCTATCATCTAATGAGAAAAGAACATGTCTTCACTGGAGACATTAAAGATAGTACATCTTCAAAACACAGGAAAGAGTTCATTTTAATAATTAGGCAAACTGCTCAGTTTGTGTGTCTGATCTCTGAGAGCACCTGTCAACACCTGGTGAATTCTCTCAAGTGATGACTCAACATTTAGGAAGTACCACCTAGGCACCACACCAGGCATTGTGGAAAGAGCTCTAGAAAACAAGGCAATCTTGCTGAAAGGAAAATTTCACTGTATTACAAATAACAGTGAGTAAAGCTCTTCCAAAACACTAAGCTATGACAAACTTAGACAGCATATTAAAAAGCAAAGACATCACTTTGCTGACAAAAGTCCGTATGGTCAAAGCTATGGCTTTGCCAGTAGTCACGTACAGATATGAGAGTTGGACCATAATGAAGGCTGAGCGCTAAAAAATTGATGTTTTCGAACTGTGGTTCTGGAGAGGACTCTTGAGAGTCCCTTAGACTGCAAGGAGATCAAAGCAGTCAATCCTAAAGGAAATCAGTCCTGAATACCCACTGGAAGGACTGATGCTGAAGTTGAAGCTCCAATACTTTGGCCACCTGATGTGAAGAACCGACTCACTGGAAAAGACTCTGATGCTGGGAAAGATTTAAGGCAGGAGGAGAAGGGGACGACAGAGGATAAGATGGTTGGAAGGCATTACTGACTCAATGGACATGACTTTGAGCAAACTCTGGGAAATAGTGAAGGACGGGGAAACCTAGCGTGCTGCAGTTCATGGGGTCACAAAGAGTTGAACACGACTCAGAGATTGAACAACAACAATAAAAAATGTTAGCCCACTGTATCAAAAGAAGAAACCCTAAAATGGGCATCTTTCTTACATCAAATAATGGATCTCAATGAGTTGGGCTTTTTCTCCTCAGATACTTGTCCCAAATCCCTTCCTCAATACCAACTCCAAAGTGTTAACAGCTTAAGTTATGAAATGGATTCTAGCCACATTCAGCAGTTCATCTGCATTTGATCTAGCATCTTGTTCCTCAAATGACAGAGGTCAATGAGACAAAAAGTGCTGACATCTCTCAGTTCTGGTGTACTGATCAAAATCACTGAAAAGATGTGTGTTTCTATTTTGCTGTCAAAGATCTGAAACTGCCCTATGGAGGGCACATCAACACAAAATTCAGGTTAATGGTCCAGACTAAACCTCACTTCCTTTTTCTCAAGTGCTGAAACTAGAAAGGATGTGCCTGATAAATACAAATAATTCCTTACTTCCTTATTCAGTCAGATGAAATAAAAACTTACATAACTTTCACCTATGATGTTCATAGCATGTGAATGCTAGAGTTATTGATGGAATAAGATTCAGTGAAGATTTCAACACTTCTCATATTTTCATTAAACCCATCTTCACATACTGCCTAACTAGACAAATGATATAACAATCATATCAAAAAGCTCCTCGTGTTGAGCATTCTCTGGTGATACATGTTGACTTGAACTGTGTCAAAAATTCAGAATCTTAAATAATACTTAGTATATGTAGCATTTTTCTCTACATATCTATATACTCACACAAAAGAAAAACAATTTTATCTATACTTCAGGTTTAGATAAATTTTATCTATACTTCATCCTAATGTAGGATGAAGTTAAATTGAGCTATTTAAATAATAAATATTAGTATATTCAATCATTAGGCTTCACTGGTGGCTCGATGGTAAAGAATCTGCTTGTCAATGCGAGGGACGTGGGTGCAATCCCTGCATTGGGAAGATCCCCTGGAAAAGGAAATGGCAACCCACTCCAGTATTCTTGCCTGGAGAAATCCCACAGATGGAGGCACCTGGTGGGCTACAGTCCATGGGGTCACAGAGTCGGACATGACTTAGCAACTAAACAACAAATCCAATCAACACTACTACACGTCAGTGTGTTTAGAACATCACTGTTGATGGCTAGAAGCTTTAAGTTATACATCAATTCAGTTCAGTTCAGCTGCTGTCAAGCCTGACTCTTTGAGAGCCCATGGACTGCAGCACGCCAGGCTTCCCTGTCCATCACCAACTCCTGGAGCTTGCTCAAATTCATGTCCATCGAGTTGGTGATGCCATCCCGGGTGGTGGTAGCGGTAAATAACCTGTCTGCCAATGCAGGAGATGCAGAAGACATGGTTCAATTGCTCGGTCAGAAGATCCTCTGGAGAAGGAAATGGCAATCCACTCCAGCTTTCTAAAAATTATATATAGACTTGAGCTTGAGAATCATTTCAATGTTCCTGTATTTGTCCTGAAGTTTACCAACTTCAGCTCTTTTCCTACAACACAGTTGCAGGACAAACACAGCTAAAGTTCAGACTCTGTTTTTCCAGATAATTACTGTTACAGTTCACAAAGTCTCAAAAGGATCTGATGAGGCAAAGGGTGTTTTTGCACAGACACAGTGTGAATATGGTAAAGAACTGGCCTAAGTAGTTCATGCTACCAAAAAAAAAAAGTTTCTGTTTCATCCATATGATTTTGAATTATCTAACATACCACACAAGAACAACACAAAAGACAAAGAATAAAAATTTAATTAACTGCTTCTCAGCTCTTACCCTGTGCTCTTTGATCCAGCGTTCCATGTCATTCTCAGTTAGATAGTATGCTTTAATATAGGTTTCCACAAATTCTTTATCCGGAATGGGTCTAATATCAGTTAGCTTTTCAAGTTTCATTAAAAACTGTTGAAAATCCAATTGCATCAAGGCACGACCCTCATTACTACACTTCTTGACGTTGGCATATCTAAGATACACAATAATAAAAAAACACAAGTTATGGGATGGTTAGGAAAAGAAACCTTTAGGCACTTATTAAACTTTTCTCTAACCCACATTTGCTGAGATGCTATAAGAAAAAGAGGACATTAAGTGTTGAGTCAGAAGGACTGTGTTGTATTTGGGCCCTGTCACTCAGCAATCATTTTACTTATCTGGGCCTCAGTTTTCTCATTTGCAAAGCAAAGAGATCAAGCAACTTCTAAGGTTCTTTGCTGTTCTACAGGCCAGAGTTCTGCAAAATCAATTAACATACTCATCTATAAGAAAGTTAAACTGACATTTAAGTTAATCTGGCTGCCAAGAATTATTTATAAAATAAAGCTATGAATATTCTCAATTAGCTTCATAGAACTGTTCAATGTAACTACTCAATGCAAAGAAAACAAATGAAATAACTCTCCCATAAACACTCAGCAAACCTAAGAAACAGAAGCATAGAAAGGATATACATATTTCTCATAATAAAACACCTTTATAGACTTGTTTCTGAGACCCCACACTACTAAAAAACTGCATGTTCTAAGGTGGACTAGTAATAAGAATACATTTGTTAACCCTAACAGTACAATTTTATTATTCATTAAGTCAGTGTTTCATTCCTTCCATCACACAAAATGTGGAGAATTCAATCTGAGGAGATGAGGTACTTTCCCTAGGAAAATCTGCAAGAAGACTACTTTATATTACTTAAAGTGATAAAGCTTTTTTATTTTTTAATAAAGTGTTTATATTGAAATATATAATATTTGTTTGTCACTATTCTACTATTAAACAAATTTATTAACAGTAAAATCCAGTCATGACTGCTGATATAGAAACATCTTGGGATTTATAGCATTGCTGACTTTAATACAAAATGCCAAGGCTGTTGTCAGCTTGTCACCATCACCTTCCACTTTCTGACACGTTCTTTTCTATAACAAATAAGAACTGAAGAGAAATCAGATGAATGACAGTGTGAAAATTCAACTGATGTGCCATTCTAGATCACTGTGAGTGGTCTCTGAAATAGAAGCTTGCTTTCCAGGTATATTTTAAATGTATTACTAATTCTTATTTGTGTTCCCAATGTTATGGACAGAGTAAGCATGACCTCTGAGTAAGTGGGAAAATTACTTTTGACCTGTAAACTCAACATATGAAAGATTTATCTGGTTTACAAGGATTATAATAATGATACTCTGAGCAGTGATATAGTGGTTTTGAGGACTGATTTTGCCATGAGAAAATTAGGAGATATTAAGCCTTCTCTGCATTTCAAAGACTGGGTGAACTTGGACAAGTTACTTAACCTCTGTAGCCTTGATTTTCTTAGGCAAGGCTATCTTTCTGTTGATAAAACAGAGAAAGATAATTTGGACTTACTCTGAAGTATATGAAATTGACTAATCATGTTGTAATGTAGAGTACACTACATTTCCTCTCAAAGGAAGTAAGTGCCATTAACTGATTAAACAATATTCAAATGTTTCTACATCTCAAATTTTCTGACTGTTGGTATGAATTAAAATGGCTTTATAACTAGTATGTCTTTAAAAATATCTTCAAGAGACCCAGAGTTTTAAAAAAAATGTTTTAATGAGCTTTCAACTCAGAGCAAACTATTTGTAATTTGTAGCTGTACTCCTTAGAGAGCAGTCTGATAAATTATTCTCTTTCCTAAACATTCTTTTAAAGTAAGTATCAATACATGATTACATACTGAAAGAGTCGAGTCATATAATAGCTGTAAATTTTCAGCACCAAAAATGCTCCGTATTATCTCATTGCCTATAGAAAAACTGAACATTTTTATTACTCATCAGTACCTTTTATAATACTACTCTCCTAAATATAAAAACATATATCATTTAGACAATTCCAACAACATGAAAACAGCAGATGGCTCACCCTTCAATAAATTTATATTTCTGATTTCTTTGGACTATTATCATCTAAATATGTTCATTAACAAAAGTAAATGCTGTTGATTCTTTCTTGACAATACAGTTCAAAAAAATTTAACAGCCCTTAAAACAGTATTTTTTTCTTTAGTTTCCTCAATAAAAGAAGCCATGTAACACGTAATAAGCCAAGACTGACAATGTGTTCAAATAACACACAGATTAGAAAAAAAATCTAATCTGATCATCACCAGTGAAGCTACTATTACATGATGGTTGTGTTATCCTTAGCTACTTCCTAGATCACATTTTTTTTTGATGATTAATTCTTTGACAGTTAACAGCTTTTAATTATTTATGAGAAAGCAGTGGATCTTCAATCCATTAAGCTTACTTTTGAAAATCAAAGTAAATAAGTAATTGCTCTTCCCCTTTTTTCATTTCATGAATCTACCAGAACCAGTAGTATTTGCTACCAGATTTATGCTTCACTACAGTAAAAGTGGCTTCAGATTTTAAAAGTCACAATACTTTTGATTAATATTTTAAAGATAAATTTATATGCTTATTATATAAAATACCATGCTGCTAATTGCTAAATCCAATCTTCAAGAATGCTTATTATTAAATGAATAATAAAATTATTTCATTTTACTTATGATCCATTTGGGGCAACAAATGCAGACTGCTTTTACCTAAAGGTTTGGACTTGGGAAAGTAACAAAAAGAACAAAATTCATCATAAAAGTTCCCTTATGAGAGAAAGTCTTAAACTGCTGAAACTTGAGTTCAGGTTAATAACCTCAGTAACACTGGCTCTTTCTTATTTCTTGAAATTAAGACTAATTGAAGCAAATAGTCTCTCTCTCTCTCTCTCTCTATATATATATATATATAAATAAATAAATATATATATATATATGCTGAGGGCAGAAGTCTTTTTTCTTGCATCTCCATAAGTACTGTAATTGTTGTTTAGTGCTAAGTTGTGTCCAACTCTTTGCAACCCAATGGACTATAGCCCACTAGGCTCCTCTGTCTATAGGATTCTCCAGGTAAGAATACTGGAGTGGGTTGCCATTTTCATCCTCTGGGGGATCTTCCTGACTCAGGGAACCCAAGTCTCCTGCATTAACAGGTGGATTCTTTACCACTGAGCCACCTTAAGGAAGCCCAAGTACTATAATTAGCAGGTTTTAAAAAACAGAATCAACTTTTCAAAAATAGAACCATTCAAAAAAGTGTGATTATAAATTACATGTATCTTTTATATTCCAAATTAAAATTCCCAGCTGAAGTCTCCTGGGTGCTCAAGAAATCAAAGTCCTTCCAGGTTGGCAATTACCAAGCACGTGCAGATCTTGTGCTAACACCTGGACACTTTTAACTGATCTCGGCACCCTTAGTTCCCTGACTCTGAGGACGGTCTCCAAGTCCTCAACCCAGCCCTCCAGAACAGTCCTAGACACGCTGGGAGTTGGCACCCCAGATGAATTCGGCTGCTATCTCTGCTTTGATCTCTGGGTTTGTTGACTGAATCTCAAGTATTTCAGGCTATTATTTTCTGCCTTGGATGAAGCAGGTAAGAATGTTTGTAAATGAGATAAATAGGGAACCAGGAAGGGCCAACTTTCTTTTCGCTGACAAATATGAAGAGTAACACTTTTCTGAAAGCTGTTTTCCTTTTCTCAGTTGCGCTTTCCTCACCTCAGACATGCTCATGGTTCATTGCCTCACTTCCTTCAGGCCTCTCATTATCACTTTGAGTCCTTCTTTGACCACAAGGAAATATATGGTATTCCTCCCCCACAACACTCTGCCACTCTCTATCCCTCTTCTTCTGGTTATTTTTTCACAAGACTATTCACCACCTGATACATTATATATTATGTATCTCTTTACTGTTATCCCTGCTCTAGCATATAAATACCCTGATGGCACATTAAGCTCCTTAATTCACAACTAACTATATTGCTAGCAGCTAGATCAGTGTTTGACACATGTCAGATGATTTATAAATATCTCTTGATACATAAATGAAAAAAAACAACTATACTTCTTTTCAGAAAACTTATAAATGTTAAGTCATTAAACACAATGATGCTTGCATAACACAGAGCACAAGTTAACGTGATTTCTGGGAAAAACCAACTAGAATAGCCAGGAGTATAATCTCTTGCCGATGAATATAAATACACCATAGAAATGTCTTCTTGTCACTACAGCCATGGCTATCGAGATTACGTAACATGAAAGGCAGCCAAGACACATGAAACAAACTCTAACTCAAACTGGGAAACTTGTGAGCAAAGACAAAATCTGCAAGGTATTCTTGGGTCTAAGAGAACACAAAATTTGGAAGGAAATCCAAACCCAACTCAGGAGCTTTAATATCACAAGAATGCTCAAATGTGGTAAAAACCATAATCTCACAACTTTAGAGTGACTGCAATTACAGGAATAGTTCCATACTATAAACATCTTTAACAAAGGTGTTTCCCAGAATACTTGCCTTTAACAATGTATCTACATATATGTTGTGCTGTGACATAATTTCTTTTACATCCCATTTCACATTAGCCATTAGGAGCAGCATCTGTTCATAATCAATGGCTTTACCAGCTACAATCCAGTAAATTGGTTTGCGTAGTTCACTGGCCGTTGAGACTGTCTGAAATAAATTTCACAGAAAAACAAACTTTTTCTAAAAGTATCAAATTTATAAAAACTATTTTGCCCCCATTTCTAGTACACATAGTATCTGAAAATAAAACACTATACATTTGGAGATAAAAATTATGAAAATACTTTAACTTGTGGGCAAAGATCTTACTCAAAACATAATTTTGAGACATTCAATATGCTTCAGTCCACTGACAATACAACAGTAAAACTACAGATTTCCATGGAGATGAGCAAATATTTCTCAAATTCTTTTGCTTTTCTCCATTTCCATTCCCATTCCCACACTGCAACTCAAGATCCGATCATCTCTTACCTGAAGTAGTCCGAAAGTCTTCAAGCTGGTCTCCTGTCTTTAGGTTTGCCATCTAAAGTCCATTCTTCACACCACCCCCAAAGCTCTCTTTCCAAAACAC